ATTGACAGCCGGTGAACGCCGCACATCATGCAGTAGCATTCGCAATAAATATAAAATAACCCCACTAGGGTGGCTCCGAAGATGTACTGCACGCCAAAGAGGCAGCAAATACAAACCAGAGGTTTTAACTCAGGGCCCAAGAGCCCGGCATCTGGTGTGTGGGAGCATCCCAGTAACATCTCTAATATGGTATTTCCGCACCGAAAATCAGACGGTCTTCGTATTGCACTCCACGGCTGCACTACAGAGTAATAATATATAGGCACTTGTTACACTGGCCACGAACTCAGGATTCGCTTGCCCACCGAAAGTAAAAGCATCCCGAATGTAAAAAGCCCTTTCAGTACTTAACGGCAAACTAAGGATCCCCAGCAAGTTGTTCAAAGTGGTGAAAAAACAATCTGGGATGGCATTTAAGTTTTGCGTTCAGTTTAATGCAAACTATCAGTGTGGAAGGCAAAAGTGCGAAAAAAAAAGCAAAAAATAAAAAAAAAAACGAAGGAAGCATAAACTCAATCCGAATGAGCTCAGAAACTGATCGCAGCAGTGCGAATTTTCGAAAAGAGACAAAACTTTACAAGAAAAAAGGTGAAGGAATTTAGCTAAAAAGTTTACTAAAAACTTTACTAAAAAAAGGAATTTAGCTGAAAAGTGGAGAAATCAAAAGAAAACAATTATTTAAGGAGTGTCGAAGTGCACTGGGATGAAAAAGAATGACATCTGATGTCATGTTTGTTTACTCTGAGTAACCAAAAATAAGAATGAGACGCCACAAAAAGCATTTTCAAGATGAAGGGCAGAAATACAAAAGAATATTTCGAACTAAATGAACACCTCTCTTGAAAACAGCCGCTTTTTTTGAGTAAGAATCTTGAATTTTATTTTCGTACTATTGTTACTTATAATCGTTTTGTCGAGGGAGATCGGGGTAATCAAGTCTTCAAAGGAGAAAAAAGCCATCGGAAAAAAAACCGTAGAGAACAAGATCCATCAGATGATGCAGCAGCGTTGTAGCATCGAGAAGTAGAT